ATGTAGCATAGGCATGTGACAGTGTCTGCTGCCGATCTACCACGATATTCCCTGCAGACCTGCACAGGTCTGCTCGTGAGAATTTTGCCTGCTGGAACTGAATGTGCAGGCTTGTTAGCAGGCTCTGCCATATTAATCTTTTTTTATAGAGTAAGGCTTCATGTGTTCAGCACTGATGGAAAACTCAGTGAAGCACTTTTTCGTTTTTATTTCAAGTTTTTAACTAAAAACGGTCTGCAGTAGAGCTACTAAAAGTATGTAAAAGCCCACAGTTACTCCCCGAAAAAGTTATTTCAAAAGTAGTTTTTTCTCAGCAATAAGTTGTGAATCTTAGCGTTTTACAGGTTTTTCTAACCGAATATTCTGAGACTGGCAGAGAACTTAAAGCGCCCTGTTCCTTGTCGCTGGATAGAGCATCAAAAGTTACCTATTTGTTTCCAGAAATTCCAGTTTTTATCTTCAACATATAAAATAATTTTCGTTTTGGAGGTCCATTGTTTTGGACCAAACTGTACTTTTTACAATGGTCACAGCAAACCCAAAACAAAATGAAATTCTACAAAATTTACAGTCAAATGAAAGTGACTTTCAAGCTTGTTCCAATGACGCAAGAATGAAGTCTCTAGCACTTTTGACTTCTTCATGATAAGCTTAACCATGCGACCTACTTTGGCTCTCTCAGACCTACTACATGTCAACTTTTCGAGATATTGTTACTCCACACACTGCTCGACGGGTACTACTAAAGCCATCAGGTCTGGACTTTAGCACAGGTGATTTTTCTTGTGGCAGGTTTCTAGAAATAAGATCAAAATCCTGATGTTCTCGTAAATATTATATACAAACTTCATTCTTGCGTCATTCGAGCATGCTTGAGAGTCACTTTCGGTCGACTATTAACAAAGTTATGCTTTATTAGGTTTTGAGCTCGTTAGTCATGCTATGAACGAGTTATATTTGCTAATGTATTTGAGGCTCACCGGTCAAAGACGTTTTGGAAATGTCAAAGGAGAAAGTCTCATTTGCAGATTGAAATATCCGACTTTGAATGCTCTTTCCAGCTAGCAGTATGGGAGAGCCTGAAAGTGTTAGATAACGCCGAATTCCCCCCTAAAAACGCTTCAATTCACAACTTATGGTCGATAAAAGGCCGTGTTCGGAATAACTTTTCCAGGGGCGACGGGGGGATTTTACATACTTTTAGTAGTACTATCAATTCCATATAGCCAAACCTTTCCGGCTTTAGGTCGTGTATAACGGAACGGTGCGGAAGTACCCCTCTGCTATATGATCTTGAATATCTCTGGTGAAATTTTTAACTTCCAGTTTTAAGAGTTTCTTTAGCTCGGTGATAAAATGCATTATTTACTGAAAGCATTTTAAATATACTTGATACAACCGTTCTTGAGGCACACTTCGATTTTGATATCACAAATGCTCCTGATGAAAAGAACGACTATTGTCGTGATAACCACCATTATCAGCGACCTTGAGTATATTGTTTGATTGCCGGACTTGGATCAAACTGATAAATGAAATATATGATGCTAGATGGTTAGGTGCTGCTAAGACCAATCAATGGGCCTTATTCTGTCGTAGTATTAATCAGTTTAATGACAAGAGTATAGCTCAAGAAGGTTTACATCTGAGAAAATATGTACAAGAATCAAGAGGATGGAGTATGATCAATGATTATCCATGCAGGACTGATTTGTTATTTTCATTTGCTGATGATTATTTCTCCATTTATCTGGTACACACATGCAAACGAATATTAGAAAACAGAACTTAAGAGCACGCATTTGATAAAACAATATCATGGAAGTTATCTAACACAAAATTGAGAATAATACACAATATATGAGTTCGTACAAGCTATTTTATATTAAGAATCGTTTGATTACCATACACTTTGACATCATCCTCTACTAGCGTATTGATTACGAATAACATATACAGTAACAAATCAAATTTTTTTGCTTGATTTGATGATACCAATATATTTTTCTAATCTTCCAGTTTCCATGATGTTCTCTGCTGGAATTGAACATCGAATAACCAATGCTTTTTCAAAATTTTCCAGGGCAGCTACATCATTCTTCTTACTGGCATAGATCAAGCCAATATTGGCATAACAGTCGGCAATTTTAGACTGATTGTCAAGTTTTACAGCTATCTGAAGAGCTTTTAAATAGTTCACTAGAGCATTGGAATAGTCTTGTTTACGATGATAGGCTAAAGCAATACTATTATAGATTCGGCCTAACTCCGGATCATGTTCTTTATCAGTATTTTCGAGAAATAGTTCCAATATCTCTTTGTAGTAGTTTATGGCACTATCAGAATCATTACCCATCAAATGAAGCGATGCTCTTCTTGTCAGATCAGCTATTTCTTCTTTCCAGTCTTTAACATTTTTTTGTCTTCGGCTAATAAGATTGTTACCAGATACCATTTGGGTTATATCTTTTTGTGGGGTGCTAGTGTTTTCAGATTCTATAGAATTACTCTGTGGTAATACTGTATCTTCATTGGAGCCGACTGATAGCCCCTCAATATTCAGATCAATATCAATCGAGGTGTTATGTTTGTTAACCACATGCTGTATATCAAAACGTTTTTTACCATTGTGTTTAACAAGAAATATGATTATTTCGTCATATCCTTTAAAAATAGCGATATCTAGCGGTGATGGTCGTTGCTCACTACCCCCATTCACATCTGAACCACAAACCCGAATTAAATATTCTACCAGTTTAAAATCATTTTGTGCAGTAACATAATGTAAGCAAGTGTCGCCATCACTGTCCTAAAGAAGTATCATTTTTTTGATAGTAGCAGGAGGGTAAGCAATTACTCTATCTACCTGCTGATGAATTTGAACATCATACTGTTCATGTAAAAATTTAACACACTTTGAAGATTTTTTCAAACATGCTTCCATGAATGGTGTCAGACCTAAATGCAAGTCATGCATTGAAACTTTTTCAGATCACTAATAATAGTTCTTTATTTACCATTCTTTTCTACTACAGTCAAGGCTGTCATACAATTTTTGTGTGTTTGCTCGGCTAAATTATCCGGTAAAGATTTTATTTTTGGATGGAATGGAAGTATCAATGCTTTTAGCATTTCCACATCGCCTCTTTCGCATACATAATGTGCTGTAGTACGTCCCGATATGTCTTGTGCACAAGGATCAACACCTTGGAGAAGAAATAATCGTATCCATACATAGGCCAGATTAAGTTTAACAGCGACATGTAGCAAAGTCTAAATCATATCAACTATCGTAATGGAAAGTTAAACCTTTTTTCCGACATACCTGATTTAATGTATTTTTCATCTTCACAACTTTGGCATGATGTATCTCAAATGTTTTACGGAGTGCCTCAAAATTACCTTGTTCGAGGTAATCAAAAATCTCACTCGGATCAGAGGGGATTAATAAAAGTGTACCGATTAGACTCTGATCATATCGTTTTTGTTTAGTCTCGTTTTTAGTTTCTGTTTGATGCTCATGGACTAGCCATCTATTGTTAAAGTTGTTGTGATGTAATTTTACTAATGTTTTCAGTCGTTCATTGGTAATGGGAATAACTCGACCCTCCGCTCTAATACCTGTAATGATACATATAATGATACATATTTCAAACCAAGTAAACCAATGCTCAAAAAAGTATACGAGCAACCTCTATCTGCGATTCACTTGAACCTTCAATGGAAGAACTACTTTTTATTCTTTAAGCACAAACAAGGCTGATAAGGGTTTCGATCAGCGCTTCTCTCCACAGAAAGCGACTCCTTTCAACTGCTATTTAAGGTCGAAGAATACGATCGGTATATTTTTTCGCTTCTTCATAGAGCTTCCCTAGTACTTGACAGTCCATTGTCAAGACTTCTGTGCCACTGGGGCAGTATTGCCGTTTTGGCAAGATTTATTGCCCGAAGAGACAATATGGTCTGATCAGGCAAGGAGTACCTTCAAGGTGGTACCTTGCCTCTTTCGCCCAAATTTCTACATTTTTTTCTCGCAATGCATCCGCGCAAAAATGAACGTAATGACGCATAAAGAGACTTATTCCACTCGAAAGAGCGTCAAAAACTCCATAAAATGACGCTTACTCACAGTGTAGATATGCTTATTTGTCCAAAGTATACAAGAAGGTTCTTCCGAGATTTTATTGCCTAAACGAGCAATATACCCCGTTCGATCAGGAAAATAGCCCTATTTTTGATGTTAACATGTACTATTTAACTAAACAAACTTAGCGTTGCAATGACTATTTAAGATGTAAACTGCATCGATACAACAAACATTCTAATGCTTTTGTTCTGATATCTACAATTCCTAAACACTGCACGTGAACTGACGTTAAGCATTGAGCTCAATAAATTCTACAACCGTTTTTTCGTTATAGAAAAGCTCAAGCCTTGAAAGCTTGAACTGGCCCTTACTGAACCTTCCAGTCTGAACGGAGGAATGACTACAGACGAAAGCAAAGAACAACATTCATGAAATTTATTTGACATGTTCACAGTTATTCAATAGAGTTTTATCGTAAATCAGTTATTGCTACATTTTCCTATTTACTTTATATAAAGAAAAACTCTAGTAAGGCTTCGTACGCATATATAGGCTTGTCCATGTAAAAGTCAACTTTTACGTAAGTCCGTAATGCTTTATGAAATTCATCACTGCTCAACCGAGTAACGTACAGAGTTGGGGAACTTCTTATTTTGTAGCTTGATGATTTTTATTTCAAATGGTAATTAAGCAAAGTCTAGCAGCTGGCTAGTTTAAGTGACATATTATTTTTGGTATACGCTACTTTTGCATAAAAGGGCCTTACTGGTGTGAATTATAGGGAGGT